AGTCTTATGGGAGAGATATCAGAATCTCCAAGGGGTACAGAGTATCTTTAATTTGGATAGAAAGCAGAGGTTTGTGCTATTATTCTGTTTTAGGCACAATGTGGTAGGCATCTATTGGTTTTTCCAGACAGACACTCATTCCCCTATTTTCTTTTCTTTCTTTCTCTCTTTTTTTTTTTTTTTTTTTTTGAGATGGAGTCTTGTTCTGTTGCCCAGGCTGGAGTGCAGTGACGTGATCTTGGCTCACTGCAATCTCTGCCTCCCAGGTTCAAGTGATTCTCCTGCCTCAGTCTCCCTAGTAGCTTGGATTACAGGTGCCTACTATCATGCTTGGCTAAGTTTTGTATTTTTAGTAGACATAGGGTTTCCCTGTGTTGACCAGGCTGGTTACGAACTCCTGACCTCAGTTGATCTGTCTGCCTTGGCTTCCCAAAGTGCTGGGATTACAGGTGTGAGCCACCATGCCCGACTACATTCCCCTCTTTTCTGATAACTGCCCCTTGTCATGCCACTCTGTCCCTGGTCCAGTCCATGGGCTGACCCACCTCAAAACTCCATGAGCACAGATCCACCTGGGCCAATCAATGCCAGCCTTGGCATTTTTGTTAGAACCATAAGGAAAGATAAATTTGTTTTCCTCCAGGATTGTTCAGTTTGTGGGACAGAAACCTGGAGCTACCTGATACCACCATGTATCAAAAGAATCCTAAGAAGGATGGCATAGAGAGAGACAACTCAGAAACAGTGAGGTCCAGCCCTAATTATTTAGCTTCAGCCCCTGAACCTAGGCATGTAAGAAACCATAGGTTTCTTGGTTAACTTAACCATGTTAAGTTACATGAGTCATTGATACTCTCAGCCTTCTACCCTTTCTGTCTCAGTTTATTTGGCTTAAGCCAGTTTAAGTTTAGTCTCTGTCTGTTGGTACCAAAAGAATCATGAACGAAACATTCTATATTTAATTTTTAAAAATTAATTAATTTATTTTTGAGACAGGGTCTCACTCCTGTTGCTGAGGCTGCAGTGTAATGGTGCGATCTCAGCTCACTGCAGACTCTACTTCCTGGGTTCAAGTGATCCTCCCACATCGGCCTCCCGAGTAGCTGGGACTACAGGCACACACCACTATGCCCAGCTAATTTTTTGTCTTTTTGGTAGAGAAGGAGTTTCACCATGTTGTCCAGCCTGGTCTCAAATTTCTGAGCTCAAGTGATGAGCCTGCCTCAACCTCCCAAAGTGCTGGAATTACAGGTGTGAGCCACTGTGCCCAGCCTACATTCGATATTTTGATATTCATTTTGAAATTCAAATGCATTAAAGGAAAACATTGATTTTATATTTTGGTAAAGGCAATCTTATTTTAAAGAGAGAGAAATTTGGGCCAGGCACAGCGGCTCATGCCTATAATCCCAACACTCTGAGCGGCTGAGGCAGGAGGACTACTTGAGCCCAGGAGTTTGAGACCAGCCAGGGTAAGATAGTGAGGTCCCTGTCTCTACAAAACAAACCAAAAAAACTAGCTAGGTGTAGTGGTGTGTGCCTGTAGTCCCAGCTACTCAGGAGGCTGAGGCAGGAGGATTGCTTGAGCCTCAGAGTTTGAGGCTGTATTGAGCTGTGATTGCCCCACTGTACTCCAGCCTGGGCTACAGAGAAAGACTCTGTCCTCCACCCCAGAAACAGAAAATGAAAGAAAAATCTGACACAAGTTGTCATCTTAACAACTTTAGAAACAGCTTTTTGCAGTTTTTTTCTTTTTTTCCTTTTGTTTTTTTCGACAGGGTCTCATTTTGTCTCCCAGTCTGGAGTGCAGTGGCACACTTATGGTTTACTGCAGCCTCAACCTCATGGGCTCAAGCCATCCTCCCACCTCAGCCTCCCAGGTAGCTGGGACTATAGGTGTGTGCCATCACGCCTGGCTAATTTTTTATTTTTAGTAGAGATGGGGGTTTCACCATGTTGCCCAGGCTAGTCTCGAACTCCTGGGCTTAAGTGATCCTTCCACCTTGGCCTCCCAAAGTGCTGGGATTATAGGCATGAGCCACCATGCCCAGCCAACTTTTCCTTTTTATAAGTCATTAAGCTATGTGAAACTTAGTGGATAGAAATTGCAAAACAGTCCAAATGTGTTTAACCTCTGTGGTTATCCACTGGGGAATATGGGTCAATAGAGACAAGAGTAACACTCTTTTTTCTCAACATCTGTATACCTTTCAGTGCCTAATGTATAAACAAATTCCAATAAAATTAACAACTGTTAATTGGAATTCATTCAGGTTGTAGGGGAAATATTTAAGTCCTTTATAGATTTTGTTTGTTTTTGTTTTTTATTTTTTGAGATTGAGTTTTGCTCTTATTGCCCTGGCTGGAGTACAGTGGTGCAATCTCAGCTCACTGCAACCTCTGCCTCCTGGGTTCAGGTGATTCTCCTGCCTCAGACTCCCGAGTAGCTGGGATTACAGGTGCATGTCACCATGCCCGACTAATTTTTTTTTTTTTTTTTTAGTAGACAGGGTTTTACCCTGTTGGCCAGGCTGGTCTTGAACTCCTGATCTCAGATGATCCACCCACCTCAGCCTCCCAAAGTGTTAGGATTATAGATGTGAGCCACTGCACCCAGCTCTTTTCAGATTAAAGGAAAAAAAAATTATCTTCCTATCTACACCAAGCTACCTTCAGTTTTTATTTAAAAAAAATCAAGACAAGGGTGATATTAGATATATGTTTGACATATACAAAAGCTGCAAGCACAAGAAGATAGTGAATACATTTTCTTTTTAAGTGTCCAGGGAACATTCATGAACACTGATAATCTATTAGGCCAAAAATAAAATATCAGTCAGTTTCAAAAGTTAGATATTACAGACATTTTCTGAGTATGATATGATATGGCTAGAAATTATTGAATCAGAAAAAATTCCCCTTGTCCTGAAGATTCAGAAATTGTCTTAAATGATGCATGAGTGAAAGGGGGAAATAAGGAGCAATGATGAACCTTCTAAGATGGAATTAAAGCATAAGGACAGTTGCTCGTGTCTGTGCTGTCACTGTGTAAATTAGAAAAGGTGTTCCTGGCCGGGCGCGGTGGCTCAAGCCTGTAATCCCAGCACTTTGGGAGGCCGAGGTGGGTAGATCACGAGGTCAAGAGATTGAGACCATCCTGGTCAACACGGTGAAACCCCATCTCTACTAAAAATACAAAAAATTAGCTGGGCATGGTGGCGCGTGCCTGTAATCCCAGCTACTCGGGAGGCTGAGGTAGGAGAACTGCCTGAACCCAGGAGGCGGAGGTATTGACTCCTGCCTGGGTAACAGGAGCGAAACTCCGTCTCAAAAAAAAAAAGAAAAGGTGTTCTTTTTCAAGTAAAAACAAAGGCCAACCCTGCTGTCTCTGTGAGTAGTCAGCGATGATGGCCTGGAGCCCAGCTGGCTGAAAGACGAGCATGAGGCTCTGGGGAATTAGAGCCAAAGTGAGTTGGTAACTGGAGAAGAAAGAAAACACATGAATTTCTCTTTTCTAGGGGAAAAAAAAAAAACTGAGTATAAGTTTTCCTAAGACTGGAAGCAACTTTCTATTGAAGTGCTTACTAGCAAGATTTTGAAGGCCAGGAAAAAGTCATACGTAAGAAATGTTTTCTTTGATTGTATTCTATATTCTCAAGACCTGACTCCTAAGAACAAAAAGACAATAAAGCAGTTTATTAAAATAAAAGAAGTTTAATAAACTTGTTACTTTTCTGTAACCCATTGTAGAATTTACCTGTTTTAAATGCTTTTCAGTTTTTAATTTTTTGAGGCAGTGTCTTGCTCTGTTGCTCAGGTTGGAGTGCAGTGGCCTGACCTCAGCTCACTGCAGCCTCTGCCTCCTGAGTTCAAGCAATTCACATGCCTCAGCCTACTGAGTAGCTGGGATTACAGGTGTGTGCTGCCACACCCAGATAATTTTTGCATTTTTAGTAGAGATGGGGTTTTGTCATGTTGCCCAGGCCGGTCCTAAACTCCTGGCCTCAAGTGTTCCAGGCCAAAGTGCTGGGATTACAGGTGTGAGCCACTGCACCTGGCCAGTTTTTAAATTTTTTGAGATAGAGTCTTGCTGTGTTGCCCAAGCTGGAGTGCACTAAGTAGCAGTCATGGCTCACTGCAGCCTCAACCCCCCAGGCTCAAGTAATCCTCTTTTCTCAGCCTCCCAAGTAGCTAGGACCACAGGCACACATCACAACACCCTGCTAATCAAACACTTTAGATATATAATTGTGTCATTTTAACAAGTTACTGTGTAGAGTGTGAAAATCTTAGAAGATCAATAAAATAGCCAAAGAAAAAAAAAATCTCCAAATAAGTTACCCTGAAAAGTAATGGTTCAAGTTTTCTATCACCTGATGTAAATGATTCGTGAGCAAGGTTGCCAAGCGTGTCTTGAAGAATGCCTATATTCAAAGCCAAGAAAAGCCCCAGTTTGTAATTGTGTTACTATTATAAATAACCATTCAGATAGTCCCTTCTTGCAGCAGTAGAATCTTTTTGAATGGAGGGACTCTGGCTTTACTTTCCTAAAATCACAAAAGGTGTAGCAGTCTGGGGTTTTGTTTTGTATGGATAACTTTCTTTTACAGTCACAACTCTCTTAGAATGGGAGCAATAAAGCCTCTAGGTGTCATGAAAGGATGGGGACCTCACCAGAGAGGACTGGCCTCAGCCATGCCCTTAAGTGGTCAAAACATGCTGTGGTTGGGGTCAGGATTGTGGGGGAATAGGAGTGAGGTAGGGAAGTAACTGAGTGCACTTAGACTGAGATGAATAGCAATTTAGAAATTAAGGAGGGAAGAGCTGTTGTAGAGTTCTTTCTGGCATGAGGAGTAGGGGTAGCCCAAGGTTGCTTTTGATGCATGAGTCACTGAGCAGGAATTTGAGAGGTTTCCACTGTGACACAAAGGAGACAGATGCTGGGGATAGGCCACAATGGTGCAGTGACACAATAAAGACATGGTTGCTAGGGCCAGAGAATAAAAACCGGGTGCCTAGAGGAGGAGAGATGGAGCCCCAGCTCCAGTCCCCTTTCCCACTCTTTCTCCCCGAAAGGCTGTCTGAGATGCCACCTTCCACCTAAACAGCATCTCCTCAGTTTTAATCCTTAACTTTGGTCTCTGACTTCTGCTTGATTCCACAATCTCCACCCACATTTGCATGAAAGACCATCACCTGTTCTTCCTGGAGTCTCTAAGGTTTTCCGCTTTCCTTCTGTCCTGATGGCCAACTCTGCTAAGTCAGCCGAGATGCCCACCCTCTCTGAAACACTTAACCCTACTCCTGATCCTCATCAAGAATCTCTGGACCCTAAGATTATCATTGCCTTATTCGAAATTGGATCACTTTCCCCTTCCTTCTGGGGCTCTCTCGCTTCCCTAAAGAATAGCAACCATCAAGTCACAGAACAACAGACTGCACAGTTTAACAATCTCTTAAAAGAAATTAAAGACATTCTTAAAAATATGGCAGGTTTTGAAGAGAAGATCACAGAAGCAAAAGAACTTTTTGAGGAAACCAGTATTTCTGAGGATGTGTCAGCCCACAGAGAAAACATGAGAGGACTTGGCAGAATCAATGAAATGTTATCAACAAACCTGCCTGTGAGTTTAGACCCAGAAAAAAAAGAGGATGAAAAGAAACAGGAGATGATACTGGAAAACCAGAACTTCGAGAACACAGTACAAGTTTTTGCAAGAGATTTGGTAAATCGTTTAGAAGAAAAAAATGTTCTTAATGAAACTCAACAAAGTCAGGAAAACAGACTCCTTAGTGTTCAAGAAGAAACTATGAAAATTAGGAACAACATGGAGCAGTTACTACAGGAAGCAGAACACTGGAATAAACAACATACCGAGCTCAGCGAACTGATAAAATCCTACCATAAATCTCAGAAATACATAAGTGAAACTCTCGGAAATAATGGAGTCGATTTCCAAACCCCAACAAATAATCAAGCATCAGCTAAGCATGAGCTGGAGGAACAGGTGAAGAAACTGAGCCATGACACCCGTTCATTGCAGTTGGTGGCAGCTTTGCTAGAGAATGAATGCCAAATCTTACAGCAGAGAATAGAGATTCTCAAGGAACTCCATCATCAGAACCAGGGAACTCTGCAAGAGAAGCCAATTCAGATAAACTATAAACAGGACAAGAAAAATCAGAAGCCATCCGAAGCAGAGAAAGTAGAAATGTATAAGCAGAACAAGCAAGAAATGAGGGGTACATTTCAGAAAAAGGGGAGATCCTGTAGAAGCCTGGATGTTTGTCTTAATAAGAAAGCTTGCAATAACCAGTTCAATATTCATGTTGCAAAAAAAGCTCTTATGAGAAAAAAGAGGTCAGTTAGCAGCGTAAGATAGAAAATATCAAAAGCAGATGAAGAGGTGAATCCTTAAAAAATACATCTGATACATCCAGCTTCAGGCATGATCAATCATCAAACCATGGGCAGATCTGCTGGTTCAACCAAAAAAAGAGCTACAGAATAAGAAGATGAACACTTATATTGCTTATTACCTCAGCAATTATGTAAGTCTGGTCTTAAGTGACCATTGTGTCTACATCAAGTTCACCTTTTCACCTCCATAATCTGCTTCGTTTTTTTTGTAATTATTAGATAGACAGCCTAGAGTGAGAAGTTAAAGATCCAATTAAGTAAAGACCTAAATTAAGTAAAGACCTAACGACAAGGGAAAGTATTTTTTTTTCTTTATTTAATCATTTCATGGAGACGGGGAGTTCTGGGGGAAAAACTGTATAGTGTTTTTGGCCAGGTGCAGTGGCATTTTGGGAGCCCAAGGTGGGAGGATCATTTGAGGCCAGGAGTTTGAAACAGGCCTGGGCAACACAACAAAAATTAAGTGAAAAAAAGATATATAGTGCTTTAGTTGTGACCTTTTATAGCTCCCTTTCTAAATATGTTTCCTTTTCCTATTTTACAAGTAGGGGATGTGGGGGAATTTTAAAAATGCTAATAATCCACCCCTAACAAATTGCTTTTCTCTTATAAATCTGCACTGGCTCTACTTTTCTTAATGTGCCCCCGTTGCTCCTCTGCTAGTGAACTGTGGGCATACTGGGCAGCAGAGGCTCTTGGGAAGGACGCCCTCAACTTGTTTAGAAGAATAGAGACATATCTATATTTTATTTAGTTATTTATTATTATTATTATTTGAGATGGAGTCTCGCCTGATTGCCTAGGCTGGAGTGCAATGACATGATCTCAGCTCACTACAACCTCTGCCTCCCGGGTTCAAGCGATTCTCTTGCCTCAGCCTCGTGAGTTTCAGGATTACAGACGCTCACCACCATACCTGGCTAATTTTTTAGTAGAGATAGGGTTTTACCATGTTGGCCAGGCTGACCTCAAACTCCTGACCTCAGGTGATCCACCTGCCTTGGTCTCCCAAAGTGCTGGGATTACAGGCATGAACCACCGTGCCTGGCCTAGATTTTATTTTTGCTGGAAAAGTTTCTTCCATTCCTCCAGGTATAGTCAGTAGTGTTACCCAGGGGAAAAAAGCAATATCTTCTGTTAAGGGAGCTGGACTTCTGGTTCTAGAAAAGATGGAGCAGATGAATTTTCCCTTATTCTTCTCTTTAAGTAAGCTAAAAACCGTGGACATTATAGATAAAGCAAACATAAGAAGATTCTGAAAGATGGAGAGAAGGAGGTGGAATAGCCAGGGATGCTGAAACTTAAGGAAGAACATGGTGTTTGCTTCTCCGGGTTTTCTTTTTGCCTCTTATATATTCTGAGCTAGGTGCTGGAGGAGCCCACAACCCAAAAATGTCAATGCATGTAGACAAAAAATTCCCCCATTTTTTGGCCTGCTTTCTTTTGCCAACAGATGAGGAAAGGAACAGTCTGGCAAGACAGAAATCTTTTGACAAAACTGTCCTAATCCAGCCAAATTGCATAGAAACACATTTCTGCCCCATCAGTCAGCAAATACTGAGTCGAGAGCCTAGATATTCATCCTTGCCTGGCAGTCATGAGGCACCCCTCCTCTACTCTTCTAGGATGGTACAGAGGAGGTAAGTGTAGGAATCCTAAAGCTCTGCCCTCCACATGATGGTAACAGTGTTCTTCCCTGGCCTCCTCCAGCCCCTCCAGTTGAGTGGAATGTCGGTGGAGGCCATATGAGTAGACTAGATTTTTACCCCTTTTCCCTGCTGGCAGCATCAGCAGGGCCCTACAGAAAAAAAAAGACTTAGGCCGGGTGCAGTCGCTCACACCTGTAATCCCAGCACTTTGGGAGGTGGAAGCTGGCAGATCACAAGGTCAGGAGATCGAGACCATCTTGGCTAATATGGTGAAACCCTGTCTCTACTACAAATACAAAAAAATTAGCCGGTCATGGTGGCACACGCCTGTAGTCCCAGCTATGTGGGAGGCTGAGACAGGAGAATTGCATGAACCTGGAGGTAGAGGTTGCAGTGAGCTGAGATAGCGCCATTGCACTCCAGCCTGAGCGACAGAGCAAGACTCTGTCTCAAAAAAAAAAAAAAAAAAGAAGAAGACTTAATAAGATTCAGGGTCTCCTAATAATGCCCAAAACGTCCAGGATACAATAGAAAAATCACTCATTATATTGAGAACCAAAAGAAGTCTCAACTTGAATGAGAAAAGACAGTAGATACTGACAGTGGGATAACACAGACACTAGAGTTATCGGACAAGGATTTTTAAACAGTCATTATAAAAATGCTTTGATGGACAGTTACAAATGTGAAACAAATGAGAAAATAGAAAGTATCAGCAAAGAAATATAAATGAGACATAAGTGGAAATTATAGAACTGAGAAATAGAAGTAATATAACCTCACCAATTGTGCTCAGTAGCAGAATATAGATGTCAGAGAATAGATTCTATGAACTTTGAAGAGAGAAACATAGAGATGACCTAGAGAAAATTGACAGAGAGCCTGGGCACGGTGGCTCACGTCTGTAATCCCAGCACTTTGGGAGGCCGGTGCGAGTGAATCACTTGAGGTTAGGAGTTCGAGACCAGCCTGAGCAATATAGTGAGACACCCCCCACTCCCCACATCTCTACAAAAAAATACAAAAATTAGCCAAGCATGGTGGGACACACCTGTAGTCGCAGCTACTCAGGAAGGTAAGGTGGGAGGATTGCTTGAACCCAGGAGTTTGAGACCAGCCTGGGCAACATAGGGAGACCTCATCTCTACAAAAACTACAAAAATTAGCTGGGTGTGGCAGCACATCCCTGTAGTGTCAGCTACTTGGGAGGCTGAGATAGAAAGATTGCTCCCTCAACCTGTGAGGTTGAGGCTGCAATGAGCCATGATCATGCCACTGCACTCCAGCCTAGAGGACAGAGTGAGCTGTCTCAATCAGTCAGTCAATCAATCAAGAAAAGATTTGGAGTGAGAATCCAGGATCCTCTCCATCTTGCCTTTCAGGGGTAAATGTTTCTCTCTCCCTCTCTTTCTCTCTCTCTCTCTCTCTCTCTCTCTCTCGCTCTCTCTCTCTCTCCTTTTAGAAGGGGAGGAGGACAACTTCCTTTCTCTTTTATATAAATGCCCAGATTCATTTTCTCTGAATTCTTCATTTATGGTATGGACCTCATTACATAGAGGTTGACATCTGATTCTCATCAGATGTCATCTTATCCCCCCAGGGATAAGAACTAGGACAAGGGAATCCAGCACAGTAATTATTATGTCATAATAATCTGTCTCTGGTGCAGAAAATTCATGTATGCATTCAGGGCAACATAAAGATGAATATTAAAAGCCCAACAAAAACAATCACAATCTCCACCACAGGTTCTATTGCACAGATAGCAGGGGGCATAAGAGATTTTCATATGTTTTAAGTACCAAAACAACAATCTGAAATACTGCTCCCTACTCCTAAACCAACATTTCTTTCCATGTTTGGAATGCGTATCACTTTATTCGAAAGCTAAAAGCCAATGCTTACCTGTTACAGCCCTTAGTGAAATAAAAAGAGATTGCCACACTTAAATAATACTGGGAGTCCTGAAAAAATTACACACTTCTTTCCATCTGTTTTTCCTTCAAATGGTGATACCCTCCACACTATTCTCCAAGCATCTAGATTAATAAAGAATTGTGTAAGGCCACGAGCAGTGGCTCATGCCTGTAATCCTAGCATTTTGGGAGGCCGAGGTGGGCGGATCACCTGAGGTGGGAGTTCGAGACCAGCCTGACTAACATGGAGAAACCCCATCTCTTCTAAAAATACAAAATTAGCCAGGTGTGGTGGCTCATGCTTGTAATCCAAGCTACTTGGGCAGCTGAGGCAGGAAAATCACTTGAACCCTGGGAGGGAGCAGAGGTTGCAGTGAGCCAACATTCCACCATTGTGCTTTAGCCTGGGCAACAAGAGCAAAACTCCATCTCAATAATAATAATGTGTAATTCACTTGGCTGGGCATTGCGGCTTATGCCTGTAATCTCAGCACTTTGGGAGGCTGAAGCAGGTGGAATACCTGAGGACATCCTGGCTAACAGGGCAAAACCCGGTCTCTACTAAAAATACAAAAATTAGCTGAATGTGGTGCATGCACTTGTTAGTCTCAGCTACTTGGGAAGCTGAGACAGGAGAATCGCTTAAACCTGGGAGGCAGAGGTTGCAGTGAGCTGAGATGGCGCCACTGCACTCCAGCCTGGAAGACAGAGTAAGACTCCATTTAAAAAAAAAAGGAAATATTTCCTTATGTCATGAATAAAAGTCTTCCAAAGTTCTTTTAATTTCTTGTCTTTTGCATTTCTTTCTTTCTTTTTTTTTTTTTTGAGATGGAGTTTCACTCTTGTTACCCAGGCTGGAGTGCAATGGCGCCATCTCGGCTCACCACAACCTCCGCCTCCTGGGTTCAAGCAATTCTCCTGCCTCAGCCTCCCACGTAGCTGGGATTACAGGTGCACGCCACCATGCCCAGCTAATTTTTGTATTTTTTTTAGTAGAGACGGGGTTTTACCTTGTTGACGAGGATGGTCTCAATCTCTTGACCTCGTGATCCACCTGCCTTGGCCTCCCAAAGTGCTGGGATTACAGGCGTGAGCCACCGCGCCCGGCCTGCATTTATTTCTTTAATTTATCTTGAATTGATCCAGAAAGAGATTCATCGTGGTATTTAGGTTGATTGTCTCTAAGTTGCATGATGGGTATTTTCAAGTCCTTTTTCCTTGTCTATGATTTGAGCCCTTTTTAACCTTTTCAATAAGAAAGGATGAGAAACTTTATATATATATATATATATAAAGTAAGGATGGAATAATGGAAGAAGCATTTCTCAACTTGTTTCAGTCTGAGTTGTTTCATTTAAAAGGTGGTGATAATAACTTTCTTTTGGACCATGGACAAATGTTCAAAGATTCTTTACCTGTCTCAGTTGAGGTCTTATTGCTCTCTAGGAAGTAGGAACAGATTAAATGACAGAATTATAAACTAATCAGAAGCAAGCCTGGCTAAAAAGAAAGGTAACAATAGCAAAAAACCCAGGGACACAGGATGTCTGGAATTTGGGGTCATTGG